ATACTTAATATAAATATATTAAGTATTTATACTTAATATATAAATATATTAAATATATTATTCTATAATATTTAAGAAATACTTAAATATTATAGAAATATCATATAAAATTCTAATTGTAAACATTTTTAAACATTGTTTTTTTATTTATAGAGAGAGTTTCTAGAAAAATTCAAAAAATAAATTTGATTTACATGACAAACGCATTAATTAGCCTTTTAAGTTCAACTATGTTTTGCGTTAGAATATTCGTGAAACTTCATATTCGTATTAGCACGTGCCAAGAAATATGTACAGTATAACCAAAAAGGATTCGAGTAGACTATTCGGACCTCTCAAAAACGATCTTAGGCCGATCTCGAACCCGTAATGATTAATGGAGTTAGGGAGCTGCGCGCAGTTCCGTAATACCGTAGCAACTATCAAGTCGGAATTACAGTTGAGAAACTGCGGGGTGAGTTAAAGGAACCGTCGGCGTCTCGGTCGACGGCGGATTTTGTCGTCTCTCCTTGGTTCCGATCACGTACGAAGCTTGATTTGATTTTGATTCGGCGTACAGCAGAAACGCATTTAATACACGTGCTTGCGTGAGGGGCGCGCGTGTATCGACTAAGAATGAACGTTGACCAATAAAACTGCATGCCCGATGTCGTTGCTATGTTATTATATAAGCGCGGAAAAAGAAAAGTAAAAAAAAAAAAAAAAACCAAAATGTGTATTTGAACATATTAAATTTCAATTACCATATCTGATATTCACAAATATGATATTGTCATATTTATATATATAACATTTTTTAGTGTTCAACAAAGCAATTTTTTCTATGCAATTAGAGAAAAATGTGCCTTTGAATGCAACTGCTCAATCAGTTATTTCAATCGACTACTGCGAATGTAATGGAACTTTTTCGTAAGTGCGGCGAATAAATTTTCAATTAGTAAACTATGTTTCTGCATACATGATACGAGATCGGTGATGGTACGGAACGATAAACGGTTTCCTCTACTAACGTATATGTGCGGTCGGAGTTCGCTCAGACGCTCTCGGACACGGTGTGAACGAGCTAAATCTGCATAATTTCAATCCACAGCGCAGCACACACATCTGTGTAACTCCGGAACTGCGCGTTTGCGCACCGTAAACAGCAGTTCGAGTGATTTTGCTAATATCGGGAATTGTTTGCCGAATTGAAATAGTTCGACTTGAGACTTCCGGCCTCGCTTCTTCCGCCGTTTTAACCGTGCGTGTCGGCATTGGTCGCGGTTTCTATCGAGGATTCTGCTGTTGCTTCTCCCGCAATACCTGAACACGTTTGCGGATATCTCGTGATACTAGCAGAGCTCTTAGGCGGAATTCAATCATGTTAGCCGGCGTTTATTTCTGATCGAGTTCGTGGAAACGTGCGCTTCTCGTGACGCTCGTTTACACACGTATACCATGTTAGCCTGCACGATTTTCGTATTACACTTTGCATTTTATTTAACGGAATTGTTAAACATTTTAATTAATTCTTTTAATTTAAAAAAAAATTTAAAAATAATTTTTAAAGCTTGTTTCCTGAAATTTTACACAAACACATAATAAAAAAGAAAAATTTTATTTGAAGTGACAAGGCTAACTTGCTAGTTGCACATATCTTATACTATAGTGATAAGATATATATGTAATTACACTGCACTTACAATACAATAATTTGCTCTTTCGATGTAATAGTATAAAATCTTCATGAGTCATGAGTCAGTTAGCTTTTAAGTCACAAGCTTATATATTCAAAATTTACCCATTAATGATTTAAATTAGCTTTTAATAAAAAAAAATATTGCTTTCAGACTACTCTAAAATTTTTAATTTGCATTTTAATCATTAAAAAATTGAAAAATTTACAACAAAGCATTCTTTCACGAGATATCGCAATTATTATTATATTATTATTATGTTGTTATGTAGTTATACATATTATCATGTATATTAATTAATAAGTACTAAAATGACATTAAAAATATAACTCTGTATCTCTTTATAACTCAAGGTCATCAGCTGATAGCCTTGATATCTTAAAAATATCATGATCGTACTCATTAGCATAACCGCACGCATACATATAATTATATTGTAACCTTGAATAACATTTCTCACCTCAAAAAATGTAAATTTTTTAAATAAAATATCTTTAAAGTTATAAATAAATGAGTTTGACAGATAAACTTGTAATTCATGAACTAGATTTTTCTATAAATCAACCTTTCCTTTCACGCATATGCGGAGTATGTATGTACATACTTGCAATGCGTCAACGTTCGTTGCGTTTCCAGATGCAACAGACACAATACTAACCGGGCAAAAGAATTGGATTTCGCTATCTTACACTTCGCTACCCTGCTTTTATTTCGGTTGCTCTTTTCGTTATGGCACATTGAAATCCAAATATAAAAGGTGCATGCAGTGTGGATTCAAAGACGAAACTCGTTGAATTGGATAATGGAAAATTGAAACTTATTAAAACCTGAACAATTTCAATGAGCTCAGCTTCATTATCGAATATTCAATCGGCATAAATTATATTTAAATAAATATTCAATTGATCTTATCTATCGCGAAAGGTAAATTCAATAAAATTCCAACAATTTCCCAATATCTATGCTTGTTTTATGCATTGGTTTTATAAATTGTGAATGTTTTTCAGTCATTTGTGTCTATTTTTATGTTTATATTTGCGTTTAACAAACGTTGTCTCGTCTGTTCATATATATTTAAACGATAATTAAAGATTAAAAATATAACTTCGTTGTGCGAATCATACGGAAAAGAATAAATTACATACTTGCTACTAAGAAACATATTTGCGTAATTTTCTTATCACGTAATATAACATTTGTAATACAATAATTTAGTATTTATCAAATTTTATCATGTTTTAAGTGTTGAAAAATTCTTGACACCTTTTAATAGTTTCATATAAATGCTCGCATGTTTCTTATTACAGCGGTTTCATAGAAAAAATTAACTATTCAGTTTCTTTTTATAACAATTTTCCTATTGTAAATTTTCCAGATTCGATCCGTGATCACATCGTGATCACGTTACCATTAATGTTGAATCCTGACCAACAAGGTTATAAATTACGCAGAACTACAGGTTTTCTACCGCGATAAGATGTACATAACACGTTTGCCTCGTCGTGCAGAATTTAGTCGGAACGCGTCTCTTCGACAGAATCAACCATACAATAAACTGTTCTTGCGCTGTAATAGTGATCATAATAAAACTGATTTAAAAGTTTTCTCAAGTGATTTTTTCTGTCGTAATTTCTCAAGTCAATTGGATGATTACTATCGCACAGGCTCATATACTTTTAGTGTCGATACGTAAGTATTTTAACATTTTATAAATATAGTATTACACGATGATGCAAATGCCAAGTGACTGATGCAAGAACAAACAATTCTTATATATATATAGAATATTCTATTTTTAAATACTAAAATAATATACTTTCTTATGATAAATTTATTTGTATATTGTGATAAATGCATCATGTATCACATAAACATTTCTCGAACAAATACAGTTTTAAAATATATCAATTTATATCAATATATTTAATAAATTAAACACGGTTTAAAAAAGGTGGAAAATTAATTATATATAATAATATTAATAATATTATGAATAAAATTTACTATTTTTATATTCAGTTGGCTTGTTAAGTGATGTTCATCTTAAATACGGTCATCTAAATGAGTTCTAATAGCAACAGATGTGCTTCTGTGACAAGTATTACACTCTACCACAAAATCACTTCTTCGTGTCCAATATTTCCACGGCCAACTGTCAAGTATATGATTGCGTAAAAAATTATTATGTAAATACATTTATCCACCATTTATTTTCAGATATAGAATTGTCAACGTCGACTTTTTTTCACATAAGATGTCTCAAATTATTGATTTGAATTTCATGTGACATCATTTTATTCTTATTTGTTCAATAGCAACGGCTTCAATGCTTTAGATTTAATCTTGAATACTCGTATTAAAATGGAGAGTATTTTAATATTTTATACATTTAAATGCTCTTCTTAAGATAGGATTCTTGTGTTTTAATTATCCGGAAAAATTAAATGTGTATTGTTTTCTAAAAAATAAATCTTTGTTTTAGAAGACTACAATTTATTATACTACTCGATATGTATCCGCTTTGTAATTTTCCAATTGAAAGATAAATTTATCGCGTTATGTCAGCGTGCATAAATTATACAATTAGAAAATGTATCATCTTTCTCTCTATGTTCACAGCATGAAACTAATTACTAGTACGTTGCCGATTATTGTGATTCTATGGATTCTGGCTACGAGTAATCTAGCATCTAGCAAGAGACTATTGATCATTACTCCGGCTCCATCCTATAGTCATCAGATAGTATTTCGGGCACTATGTCTCGCTTTGAACAAACGGGGACACGAGATAGTAGTATTAACTCCTAATACCTTGAATGATCCTAGCTTAACTAACTATACGGAAATAGACTTTGGTTTTGAATACGAGAAGATCGATGATACTGATTTGAGTCAGACTCGTTGGAATCTCACGCAGCTGGGAGGATTAAAGACGAGATTGCTGAAGCTCGGACACGGCATTGCAGAGGATGTCCTCAGTCATCCTGATCTCATGAAGTATTATGAGAATAGAACTAATCAGCAATTCGACGCGGTAATAGCGGAGATGATTATGACACCTGCAATCTACTTACTGGCGCACAAATTTAACGCTCCTTTAATAGGTAACGCGGATAAATTAATAATTGCGCAAAATATTATCCGAGAATATATGTGAATTTATGTGAGCTATGGATATCCTCGCGAATAACGAGTTTTATAATCGCAGGTATTATGTCTATGGACTTGCAAAACTGCCATCGTTTTAATTTCGGCAGCCCTGTGCTGCCATCGCATGCCTCAAATTGGGAGCTCGAAAGTAAGACGGGATTAAATGTCTCATTTTGGAGGCGATTGGTGAACTTTTTTAACACTTGGTGGCATATATACTCATGGTTTAATAATTTCGCGAACCGGCAACAAAAAATCGCCGAAAAATATTTCGGCAAGGATATCCCGCATGTAGTCGACGTTGCGAAGAACATGAGTCTCATTCTGATCAATCAAGAACCGTTGCTCGCCTACGCGAGACCCGAAATACCTAACATTGTTCACTTCAGCGGCCTACACATCCTGAAAACACCGCCGTCATTATCAAAGGTACGACGCTGCAAGAATTATAAATAAATGTTAAATTTCCGTTCTTATCGGGGCAATTTTTCGCGCGTTCTAATACATATAAATATGAGAAAAATATTCTTCTATAAAATCTTTTTTCCATTTGCAGGATTTAAAAAGCTTCCTGGATAACGCGACAAATGGCTTCATTTACATGAGTCTGGGAACTAACGTGAAAAGCAAATTATTGCCGAAGAAAGCACTAGAAATATTTATCAATGCCTTTGCCGACTTGCCGTACAAAGTACTGTGGAAATTTGAGGACAATAATTTACGCGTGTCTCCTAACATTTTTATCTCGAAATGGATCCCGCAGCAGGGTGTACTGGGTAAGTCGAAACGGAGAGTAGCGAGCTAATATTTTATAATAATTAATATCGAGGTTATTAATCATTTCTTTTCCGCTTATCTTTCGTAGCTCATCCAAACATCAAGCTCTTCATTTATCAAGGCGGCCTGCAGAGTACCGAAGAAGCAGTTCACTACGCGGTCCCGCTCATAGGAATACCATTTGTCTTCGATCAGGTGTATCAAGTTATGAAAATGGTTTCTCTGGGAGTCGCAAAACACCTGGACATAGTCCGGCTTACGACGCCGGAACTGCGCGACACTATATTGGAAGTCGCCGGTGATAAGGGGTAATTACGATATTCGCTATTTGCACGCGTGTACGCGATAATAATCGTCTCTGTGTGTGAAATGCGGTACGATACGATCATAATATTTACATATAATAATTAACATACATGTATTCCGTTTGCAGATACAAAGATAGGATGTTGAAGCTACGTGCTCTCACAAAGGACAAGCCTTACGATAGTTTAGAGAACGTTATATGGTGGATCGAGTTCGTAATGCGTCACAACGGCGCGCCTCATTTACGTTTTAATGGAGTCGATGCCGCGTGGTATCAGCAATTCGATTTAGACGTTATTGTATTTTTGACGATAGTAACATTTTCAGTTTTATGTATCCTCTTAGTCATCACAAAACGAGTGTTGATATCGTTATATACACGTTACGAAATGGGCACTCGATGTGCGTTTCGTAAATTTGTAACGAAAAAGCTAAAATCGAAATAATCAATTTTTGTACAGATTGGAAAACATCTAAATATTACATATTTCCTCCTCTTCTGTAAGCTTGAATATAATTTCGCTTGGCAATCGTTTAGAAAAAATGTCTTTTTCAAAATATACATATACTACACCAACTATGCGAAATTGTCGCGGGAGTGGATCTCTTTTACCTCTCGAGTGCTCGCATGTGGATTTTACAGTGCTCATTTATACGAAAAATAGTAAAGCGTGAAAACCGGAGAAAGTGAAAGAGAGCAAATTTCGGCGAATACTGTGACTATAAAACTGGTGGTTGAGTGAAATGGGTTTTGTAGATGTACGAAATTGCATCCCGAGGTCCATTACGTTCATTTGCGCGTATTCATAGAATTACGAGACGTAGAAAGTATAGAGAGCAAGTGAGAGGGAGAGAAAAAGAAAAAGAGACAAAAAAAAATAAAGAAATGGGAAAAGGACAAAGAAATGAGAATGTTGCAAATTTAAATAATTCTACTTTCATATTGTTTAAATATACACGCCAAAGATAAACCATAAAAGACCCCGCATATAACGCAGGAAGGATGGACAACAGACAGAAATGCGAGCAGACAAACAGAAATTATAAATACAGAATGAGACGTTAATTACGGATGATCGAGAAATATCGTTAGCTAACAGAAACGTGGATAATTGAACCCTATAATAGCATGAATATCATTATGAACGCACAGTCATTTCATACATTCGATATATTCCCTCGGCAGCACATATGACCCCGTAGAAATCCAAAACTCAATTAGTTTCGGAAATGGCACCAAGTGTCAGATGTTATTGTTAACATGACCGATGCGTTTCGAATATCCAGTTAATGAGGCTCCCTTTACCGCCGGTCCGCGCGTCCATTTGGCAGATGGACCTAATTCAGAGTGCAAGGATCCATTAACACGTATATTCGCCCCAAGGAATGTATAGCGCGATAATGTATACGATGCTAACATCGTGCACGTACACAGAACCGCCGACCGGGCACACGTATTCTATGAACATTGCAGCAACAATTAGGAGACCCCTTTGCCACTGGGCGGAATACATATCTACGGCCATTTCAAGTGCCTCTGTGAAACCTGTGCGAATCGCGAACACGTACACAAGTACACATGGCGCCGATGACTATGGCATTCATCGCCGTTGTACCATAGTCGCGCATACGTTACACTGTTCCTATCCTCGGAAGCGAAACGTATAATAAACCGAAGTATCGATTAGAAGTTTGATACCGTTAGAAAAACTTCCGATTTATTCGGCTTCATTCATTGGCCGCAAAAAGTGAAAATTAATTTATAAAATATATCTTGCTCTTTTTGCGAGTTCTTCTAATTTTAGCCGAATATGTATAAAATTTTTAGTAACAAAAGAATTATAGATAAACGATGCAAATTAAAGCAATGCAATGCGATGCGAAAACGGGACTTTATGGGACTTTATAGGACTTCAATCGATCTGGCGCGATTAGCGAGAAAATGAAAGACCCGAAGAGTAAAAATGGCACGATTACGTAGCTCACTGTAAATAACATTCAAGCCTATTTAAACTTTTTCAATTATTTTGATATCTTCCACCGGCAGCGTCGCGCGACCCTGGGACTGGCATCGCGGCCGCGTTATCGGAGCCGAGAGGAGGAAAAAGACTCTCGTTTTCTCCGTTCATCTCACGCGCCCTCGGCAACAACCGTTTCGCGCTTACTTCCTCTTGGCGAGCGTTTCATAAATAAGCCTTTGTGCGACCCATCTGGAAATTGAATTGGAAAGTTTGCCTCGCCCACAGCGTGGGAAAGCTAAAAACGACACCGCGGTGCAGATCGGAGCGCGACGCGCTCGGCCAGCGTCGGCGTCAATTTTCTGGACGATTTTTCCCTCCGCCTCGCGCCGGCCCATCATCGTCGTGGCGCGCTTCGTTTATTCGCATTCAACCGGTTGAAATCTCATTTATTACCCGTACCGTATGCAATTCTGCCCGATGCTTTACCGCATTCGCCGAGCCACCAGGTAGGTAGTAGTCGGCCGCCGGCTTTTTCAACCGCGACGCGTCGTACGACGACAAAACGGCGTTCGCGCGTGAGGCGCGATGTAATTTCTGACGCATTCGCAAATAATGCTCGTTCGCTCCGATTCGCTGTAGTAATATGCGGAGTGATCCGGCCATTATCGTCAGCACGGCTCGGCGTTTATTGTATTTGTCGTCGATGCTGCATCGTGCGCCGCGACGATAATGCAATTCGCGATGCGGATGCGCGCTGACGAAAGCTACATCTCATTGCGCGATATGCGCTTTGTTTGCGTTATACTTGTCGATTGTTAATGTTAATCAAACTTTCACGATGCATCATCGCACAACACGTACCGGATCGATACTTTATGCATCTCTATAGACGTGGAAAATTTGGTATGCGTCAAACTAATGTATCATTTCGTTAAAGCTCATATGTGTTGAGACATATGTGTTCCGACTTCGGTTTTAACTTAACAGTTCCATTTTGTAGAATAATAGATTTACATTCTAATTCTTGATAAAAATAACAAGTTTTACATATACCAAAATTTGACTGCACGGTTTAAGTAAATTTCTCTTCTTTCATATATGTAATATATACATTCTATATGTTGATAGATTTACAATTATCAAAAAAATAGATACAAGTTACACAAATGTCACAAAGATGTAGGAGAAGACATATATACTTTTTCTGAATATTTTTTTTCGCAATTGATATCCTGAAAATCTACGTGACGTAACTTTTTATCATGGAAAAAAACGTAATTTATCGATACTTCTGGAAAATTATCTGTGAGTTTCGGTGCTAATACGGTTTCCGTAAAGCGTTTTCTTATTAGTCTATTTTATTCCATTTCACCTACAACGGCGAAGATTAAATGGATTCGCGCGGCAATTTGTGGATCGATAGATTTTAACGCACTTGGCAGACCTCGCCGAGCGGCATTGGACTGTTTCCAACCGAAGCATTCTGGAAATGTAGTTAGCCCAGTACGTAATTGGTATTCTTGATGCAAAAATTCATTTACGGAATCACTGAGCGTAAAAGGAGAGAAATGGAAGGTATCTTAAATAAAAACGCACGAGTATTTAATTACGTAAGCAGTCTTAAATAAAAATCTTGATACCTCGTCCATTTTTGCTCCGACAATCTCCAACGCGCGTTTTATTTGCATTTAGGCATTCACTTCCAACCGAATATTTAACGCGTATTTAATTAAAAGATGTATTTCGCGATTAATCCCTGCAAAAAGAAGGTAAACCACAATCGAGAGATAGTAGATAATATTTAATTTTTCAAAACAATAACGTTGGTAAAAGTTTAGTCATACTATACGTAATGCATTTCGACTATTAAAATACTCAAAATAAAGCCGTTTATATTTATCCAATATTTTATCAAAATAGTTATATATTACGCATACACTTCTAAAATCTTTTTATGTATAATAACCTTAACTAACAACAAGCTGAGTTCTGAAGTTAAAAAATTTTCTTTGACTTTTATACACAGACCAAAGCAAAGCTCTATCACACAGATACAATTACTTGGTCCAGAATTTACATCCATCGCGCTAATGGAAAGACAAATATTTACGAGCAAGTCGCTCGGATGAATCTGCGGAAGGAAAGTTCTCTCTCTCTTTTTTTCTACCAGAGACGATGCATATTTGACAAAAGTTATACGGCTGCTACGTTGTCTGAATTGCTTTAATAAAAAATACCCTGTTACGTTCTCCCTCTTTTTCTTTATTACAGAGTGCACTATTTCCTTTCTTCTCCCTTTAAAATTTCTCCCGCTCTTTTCTGTCAATCTTCTTTGTATTACACTGCTTTCCCCATCATGGGGAAGTGAAATCAAGTTACTCTAAATGTGACGTCTTTCACTTTCGCTGTTGTTCCATTCTCTCTCTTCCACCATTCTCCGTTCCGTCGCAAATGGATCTGCAGATTGAAGATGCGTAATACCTCGCGTACCATACACGGTCTCCGACACAGAACGCCCCTTGTCTACTATCTGTAATTATACCGAACTTCGTGCGGTGACTACGGGAGCTTCCTACTCCGAGAACGAATTAAAATAAATCTCAGAGATAACAGCTACTGGTCCCGCGGGCGAGAAAAATCTTGTTGGCTGCCATAATGAGAGCTTTTTATAGAATACTTTCGAGCGTTCTGCTAAATGCAAGAACAATTTTATACGTATTGTAAAGATTCGGGTGTCGCGTATTTTGCACTATCGCATCTATCTAGATAATGTATAGTTCCGTGTCTAATTGTGTACAGCGTATAATTTTGTGAAACCAAGAAATCGAGATATTCGGAATTAAAATTAAAGAAATCCTTTATTCTGTTAGAAAATTCCTTCACTTGACTTCATTTAAATTTTATTTATTTCACAGATGCATCGAGAGTGATTAAAACGCCGTTTTATTAGTCTCTGAAATTGAGTGATAAATTTGTTAGTTTAAATCGCAGAACCTGAAGTCAAATCCGGCTTTTAGGATAAAGAGGATACGCCTCGTTTTAGTTTGACTTATTACTGTTTCGCACCCACTGAGTTTGTAGTGCCGAACGAAAAATAAAAATCCGGCTTAACGTTTCGAGCGGACTATTGGTTGCCTGGAGACAAATTTTTGCGCGATATTGGAATTCTTTCTCCCTGTTCCCCATTCGCTAATGCGATCTCGATAAAGAGAACAGTGGCAATGTTCGATCAAAGAGGTACGGATGCGTCCCTTCGTCGAGTAGGAGGATGGGGTGCGCAATCAGACATCTTTTCATTGCAACTTATAGAGATGTAGCCGACTCTCGCGTTGTATGCAAATCCATCTGTACTTGATTATTTCAATTCATCGTCGATGGATTCATCAACTGATCGAATCGATCTAACGACGAGAAGGAAAGAGAAAAGAATATTGCCGTGAATGTTGCCGACGCTCTTACATTGCTAATAAAAATCCGCAACGTAATGCGCGCAGTAGAATTCTTCAATGTCCTATAACTGAAGAATTACTGTTGGAAAACTTGCCTATAAATATCTATACCTGCGTAATTAAATCAATATATTTAATCGCTCATTATTACTCTCGTTTATCACACAGTG